TGCCGCTTCTATAGATAAGATTTCAGTGGACAGAACTATTTTGTTTAATGCCTTAATTTACATAATAGACGGACAGTCTATTGTAATTTATATGTCCCTGATAAACAGATGTTTGAATCCTTGTTGTATGAGTGAGTTACGTTGTTGAATGATAAGTGGTTTAAAAATAAAACCGTTATGTGTAGTTTTGTCATATCACGAAATTTTACAGGTTTGGAAGCTCCAATCCCTTTTTTAGTTATATTATTATATATAATGCTTATATCGAACGTAAAACTTGGAATATTGAACATCCTCTACACGGAGGATCTTCACTGTCATTCAAGCTGACGCCTCACTTTTTTTAATTTCCAAACCAAACACTGGAGGATTTTGAGAAACTCAGCTCAAATTATGGTACAACATTTATTATTACTTAGTAGGATTATCTTTGATTTAATTTGGACTCTAATGGTTTTAAATTCTTTGGTATCGAAGAACCTGAATCAAACTCGAAACATACTTTACAACAAGAAAAAAATCTTAATTTGTGTATAACCTCTTGTTATTAAAAAAGTAACACTCGTTTTTTTTGTAATTTAATTGTTTTTAAAATTTAGATCCTTTCTATAAATAAGAGATTTTGTCCTTAATGAATAGGAGGAAATAGTTATTTAGCAATACAACACATTTTGTAACAAAAAAAAGGGGACAAATTGAAACAAAAATAAGTAATTTAATACCATTTATTGTTTTTTATAAATTATCGAAGTCATAATATGATGCTTATCCCTTCTCTGTTGGCGTCGCATAGCATGCGACGTAAAGAAGAATTTTATCCTTGAAAATAAATTCGTGGCTACTTACTTACACGTCTTTTAAATTTTCGTGATATTCTTTATTTCTGGATATTTCTACAAGATGGCACAACTAATATTTTTTTCTTCACAATTATCGAAGTGAGATTTCCCGCCTGGAATCTAACACTAATAACATCTAATGAATCTCGTGATATCTATTAAAATTTCAAAGAAAAAAACCATTCAAAATTTTTTTGATACTTATTATCTAAAAATAATAAGACGTTGTTTGATAAAATAAGCAAAAACTAATATGTTATACACGATTTCGGTTTCGGGATAAATATGATTTTTACATTCTGATGTCCAAGAAGATAGTAATGCTGTTTTGACGGTAAAGTACTATTTGCCACAATATATCTTTTTAATAAATTATTCCAAATATTTTTAAACGAATACTTTTATTATCTTTATGTAGAAATTGATCTTTCCCACCTCAAGTGAGTGAGTGAATATTAACGTCGCACTGTTCAGCAACACGAGGGCATTTGGCGAAGGACCGCGTAATTTTGAGCCATGGTCAAGTTCCCACCTGAAAGCAGTAGAACTAATACAAATACATATATATATATATATTTGTGTACCTTTGAAAATTTAAAACTTAGATTCACTGCAGGGAAAACTGGAAATCAGTGAATAGGATAACTCATATTTTTCCACCTAAAAAGCAAGTAAACATTGCTCACTGATAAAAGTAATTTGCATTTTTTGCTTTAAGATAGAATATATATTAGTTTTCTGCAATAAAAAAATTTATTTTTTGGGGGTCTGAAAAGTTCCGACAGAGAAGGTTGGGTGTTTTTTTTAATACTTGAAAAGACGTGCCGAGCTTCGATCATATTCTTTAACGTGATATTCTTTAACATTTTTAAGAGTCAAAAGCAATTTTTAATATGAAGAATTGAGAGAAACTATATTTTAATTAAATTAAATAATTGGATAATCTTTTAATGTATTGACACCTACAAAAATATTCAATTATCACAGCTGTATGCAGGTAGACTTTATTAGTCGTTATTCTTCAGTATTTTAATATTTACAGACTTTCAATTTTAAGTCACTACATATTAAAAGCTTGGTTTATTCCTATTTATTCATTCATTGATTTTGTTATTAAAATTATTGGTTTGTGTCAAATGGAAGTCAAAATATTCAATTCTGAACATCACAAGAAAGTTTATGTAAAACCTTTTTTGCTGCACATATTCGAACCTTACAGAAAAAGAATTGTTCACTACTTCAAGAATAAAAATCCAATTCAACAATAAATTTTAAAATGCATGTTCTTTATTTTGTGTGCATAGTATAAAACACAGAAAGAAAACTTTTTTTATGTTAAAGGAGGTCTTATTCAATTAATTATATAATCTAATTAGCAATTTTCAAATTATCTGTATATTTAGAAAAATTACTATTCAAGTATTTTCAATCATAAAAACTTACTTTACCCCCCCCCCCACCCCGATTAATTTTTTTTCGTTATTATACAGGCTAACCATTGAAATCTTGAATTCGATTCTACTTTGAAGGCAAAGGAAACAAATAAGATGTAATTTAATATGGTCATTAATATTTCAACCTGGCGCAATATGAGAATCTCCCTTAGAGAAATTTTTTAAACATGAAAGGTTTTAAACAGGCGACAAGTCGTGGCAACGCAGTTATTAATGTAGTTAGGTTATGAAATTTTATTATTTTGTTTATATACAATGCTTCTAAAGCTCAATGGTTGGAATGGTAAAAATTCAAGTAACAAATTAGGATCAAAATTAGTTCTTATTGATTAAAAAAACTTTACAAACATGACAATTAATAAATAAACTCGAAATTTGTGAAACATATAACAAAAGCAAGCATACAATTGTAGAAAATAATGCTATTCAATTAAATAGAAAAAAGTAAACTGTAACTAAAGTAAGATGTAGCTAAAAATCTGTTTTCAAGATAATGACTCCCTAATTTCAAGATCGTCTTTCCCAAATTAAGTCAACACCAGCTGTTCAAAGAGGATGCGAAGCTATATCTCAATGCATACACTCAACTTACTTCTTTTCTAACATTTTTTTTATTAAAACTGAGAAGAGTATTATGAACAGAGTCCGGTATTCCGGTTGTGATGTACCTCCCCTTGGAAGTACATCCCTCGAAGTATCAGCGTGAGCTAGAGGTGTAGGGTTAACGAAAGAACTAGAATCAAACATTATCTTAATATGACTTTATTAAGATATTCAACTTAAACTTTGAACAAATATAATATTAATAATTAATGAGAGAATCTGCGATGACGCAATACGCAACACACAATATAATTCAGACCAATCTCAATAATTGAACCACCTAATCTTCAAATATAATAATAAGTAAACAATCCTACCTTATATTATTCTGTAATAAACTTGTCTTTATCTACAATGGTATGTATAGCTTGCCGTTTAACTTCTAATCGATCACCAATATGTTTATCCACGACACGTAGAATTTAAATCTTGAACGACGAACTTCAATAATCATCCACTGCTACAACGCACGTCAATTGTCTAACATTCCTTTACATTGCCATCACGCTTACTCTAAGATCCTACATTTATCCTATATTATTTGCATTTCTTCACTTCTCGTTTCTTGGATTTGTTTGGAAAAGAGTTGCCATTAATTCTGGCCCAAAGAACCCAAAGGACTTGTTAAAGAAAAGACGCGTAAGACGTCACATTTTTCTTAGAATATTTACATGAAAAATTAAAAGAATGTGGGCTCATTGGAAGTAAAAGTTAAACGGAATAAAACCGTTATTGATGCAATTTAAAACAAGATTAAACCCTCACAAAGTTAGCGACTTGTAATGTTTGAATCGTTGCTCTGAATACCAATGCATACCACCAAAGATTTTCACCTGGAATAAAATGGGTGCTACTCATTAAATTAGTTAGCCCTTAAAGACTCAGTAAGATTAGTATGAGACAAATTAATAGCTCAAGAATCAATAATTTAACTATGGTTTAAAAATTACCTCATCAATAGTTCTCGTGCAGTCTTATTGCATCGTTAGATCATTAATTAATTAAACCATTAATGTAGACAAAGTTAACAGCAAATAGACCAATTGAAATTTTTAACCATCTCTGACAACTACCGTTTATTTAGGCGTATTACGTACACCTATACCTTCACAATGCCTTTTCTTAAATTTTTAGCTGTGTTGCCGTATAATAAGTACATGAGTAACGTTCTTATTTTTGAGAGAAAAATGGTTCACATAAAAACAATAGGTCAGGAAATGTTTCACTTCACTGTAGTGCTCGTTTGCTTCACGGACAATACAACATTAAAACTCAGGGTTATTTTAAAAAGAAAACTCACGCTGAAATCTAATTTCCCGAAAGGTTTTTTTCATTCACGTTCACTAAAAGAATGGAGGGAAAAACAGTGTAAAATCGTGGATAAGAAGTGTTTGGCGAAATCTTCCTGGTGTTTTAAAGAATTTAGACTTTAACTTTAGGACATAGTCAGTAAGTGAATATTTAAGTCACACTGTTCAGCTATTCTATGGCTTTTGGCTGGGACAAGGTCAGATTCCACATAAAAGATAATAGTAATTAATTGCTGACAGAGTGCAACACAGTGATAATAGTTATTTCAAGCGGATACACGCTATTATTCCAATCTTTAGATATGTGTATCAATAAACCATTCAAAACAAATTTAAAACGATAGTGGAATATGAGGATGTGCTCACGATTTATTCTCTTAATTTAGATTTCTACACAAATGAATGCTTAGAAAACTAATTTTTATATGCTCATCTTTTCTTTATTTTCAAAGTACACATTATTCATCGGAATATGCGATAAGTAACATTGTCTTTCTACAAATAAAAACTAGTAATATAAAAAAAAATAAGCCAATTCCTACACTTAGGTCAACAGAGAAAATTTTATTTTAGTTATTTTTTAATAAATAGTTACAATTAATATAAATATGTATATAAGTGTGACAGAATCCCACTATTGAGTGAAAAAACATAGAAAAGGATTTTCCTTCCAATTTTCTTCTTCCGTTCTATATAAGGCAGTGGACTATTTTTTGTTAGTTAGTATTTATTCATTCATTAAATTTAATTATTCTAATAAAATAGTTCAGTGAAAAATAAATCTCATTCTCAGTCATCACAGGTGGAATTCGAACCCACGACTTTTGGAATAGAAATCCAACTCGCTATCCATTGCGTTGCAGGGACACAACGAACGATTTTTTTCTATATATGCTGTTAGACTATTACTTTTGTTTGTTACCATTTATTCATTTTTTAATTTAATTAATGAATTAATATTTGAAAAAACTGTATTAACATCAAGTGTCATCCTATATATATATATATATAGGGAGAGAGTGAACTAACAGTAGGAATTGAATAAATAATGAAATGAAATTTTTTACTGTGAAATATTATTTCTCTAGAAGATTGTACGAGGTTTTAAGACAATATATATTACTTCTTTTTGGTATTAAAGATATTATTAACATTTTCTTTAAAATTATATAGTTCTTAGTTTTATTACAGAATAATCACACTTTGCGGTATAACTTTGCTAAAATTAAAACAACAGATTATTTCATACATGAGAGTTTTCCGATGAAGTTCACTGAAATGGTAAAATTTTTGAGCCACTATCAACCACTTAAGTTGATGGAGTAAAGGAAGTTACAAGATAGAAAGAAATCCACACAGGAGCAGTGACTTATGAGAACAATTGTTGTCACCGGAAGGAATGAGAGCAAGAGATTGATTGCCATTCCGTACAAATGATGGATTGAGCTATTGGCGTGGCTGAGTTTCCTTCGCCAAGAAGAAAAATATCCTCAAAGAAGCCATTATTAAATTAACATTGCGATCGTCAATGAAGGACTCGAGATTTCATTATATTGGCTCACGAAATTTTGAAAGTGGCTGCAAAGTTTGTGAATTCTACTTTTCTTTCTTTTGCAAGTAGTTGCAAAAGTTTGCGAATCCTGACTGCTTAAAAATAGATAAATTGTATTTAAAAAGTTTGAAAAGTTTTTTTAAAATAAAAAATAGGATAGAATTGGATCAAACCGCTGTAGTTTTCAGAAAATTAATGTATGCAAAATGATCTTTAATAAAAAGATAGATTTTTTTGTGCAAACATGATAAAAAAAATGTTAGGGAATTTTAGAATTTTTGCTGCTATTTAGAGAACATTCTAAATTCGAGAAACAATTCATTCCTCATGCCCTGTATGCACTAATCCAGTGGTCTTCAAACCTCAGGGAACACTTAGAGTTATAAAGTATTCTGGGGAGGCCCCCTCTCTATCTTAGGAGAATTAACCATAAAATAATATTTAAAATACATCAACACAATATAGATACTGAATGTTTAGACAAACACAAAAAATGTTGCATCTGTTATCAAAATTTGGTACTTATATATTATCGCAACCTATTGGGGACATTATATGAAACGATGCACCTCACTGCCAATTCTGCGCATGCGACACATTTGAAATTAGGGTTGCCAACTTGACAAGTACTCCCAACCCCAATACGAAGTACTCCCAATTTTTTTTTTTATATAATGTTAATTTTAATTTACTCATTCATTATATTAAGATATGCTCCAGCTACCTACATATACATTATATTTATTAACTAGGATATATGTCTACTGAATAGGATGTATGTCTATTCTAGACCTATTGAAATTATATATATATCTGCAGTCACATTTGATATTCTGCGTTTAATTAATTTTTATCTTTTGTTTTTGTTACCCTATAAACATTTTTTCACTTAAATGCACTGTTCTGAATGGTATTTGAATGTTTACAGCTGTGGAAGAAATCCTGTGTATTTTGAATGAATTTGCAACCTAAAATTTAGGAGCAGTTCCTACCGAAATTTAAATTTTGGAGGGTATTTATTCTGTGTAAATTTTTTTAACCCAAAATCAAGATTTTAGCGTTAATGTTTACACTTTAACCTTTAACTTCCCAATTTTTTAAATTTCTATGAAAAAATTATATTAGCTAGTTCTCAAGTAATAATAAAGGGGAAAAATACATAAGAAAATTAAGCTGTTTTAAATTGAATTTCAGTCATTTTTTTTGTTTGTTGCAGAAATGCAACATTGCGCAGTAGTGATGAAAATTATAAAACTTTTTTTTATATGAGGATTTTATTATTCATTATAAGATGTTTAAATTTCTTACCTGGTAATTTATTTCGTCAATAAACAAGAGGAAGCATAAAATATAATGGATTCTTTTTATAGCAAAAACACAGTTCTTGAGGCATCAGAGATTCTTATAAATGTTGTGACTTCTGAAAAACATGTACTTCCATCTAGTGACAAAATTAGCATGTATTTCGTTGCAGTAATCTTTTTTTCTCATATAAATGATTTGTAGGTAGTTAAAAATATATTGAGTCTGTTAAATTAAAATAAATCATATGTTGCAGAAATGCAACAGTGACAAGTTAAGGATTAACATAGAATCTGTTGATAGTTGCCACTTGTTTTTGTTATGTGTGTAATAAATTCTGATTTTTATTGAGGTAATGAAATGGATTTTCAATCCATTCCTTAAATAAATAAATAAAAATTTAAAAAACCGCGAATCTCTCTTTTTACGCATATTTATAGTTTTATTTTCGGTTTTTTTTTACTTGGAGAACCTTTAGCAATGCCTCGTGGAATACTCGGGTTCCGTGGAACATAGCTTGAAGACTACTGCTGTACACGAATTGATTTTCTTTTTGTGGGAAGAGTCGCTACGTATCAATTATGTCTTTCTGACAGGTTTTACTATACTAAGTTATATTTCTGGCTCTCAATAACCTAAAAATAAAATTATGGATTCGTTTCTTTTCACAGTTATTCGGTGTATTTATTATGAATGTCCTATTTTATGACTAAATATTGTGTGGCCCATGAAATAATAGTAATTTTACTCTTCTGCCTCATTTAAATAACCTAAGAGTAACTTTTAGATTTAAAACTTTATTTATACAACCCTAACGTAAGTTATAAAATTATATAATTCAATTTTAATCAATATACTTTTCATTTTAATCGTTAATTCGATAATTTTTTAAATATGTATTCTTCAGCCTCATTTCATATATTTACAAATAACAGTTTTTGAATAATGAGTACTATATATTTCCGATAGTACAGTACATAAATCCTTTTTGTTTTATTACTCTTTTACAGCAATTATTCTTTAAAACTACTTCGATGGAAACATAAGCAGTTTCCAGTTGTTCTACAAATTAATGCGCAACAGTAATTTTTTACAACAGAAAAGCACAGTAAAAACAATCTTTGTTACTATACAAATATTGTTTAAAATAAGATATTGTTACGAATATTGTGTAAATAATTTGTATTTGAGTGTTAAATGCATTTATATTACTCTACGTTATATTTATTTCATGTTAAAATTGTACTATTCACAAGCAATGCCGCCTTTTATGTTATAATGGCGATTCAATGAGAACTTGGCGAAATCTTGGTAGTAGAGCCAAGTTGACGACTTTAGCGAGTTCGGAACCCTCTGAAATCTTCTAGAGAGTAGTGGATCTCTCCACTAATGCCACGACTCAATGACACGAGCGGTTATATTTCTGGAAGTTTCTATAGCGCCTATAAATAAAGATGCTCGCCGGAACGGCGATCAGTCTGATTTCAACCAGCGATGAGTGAACATTGTTTCGACTAGCGATTAGCTCGGTTGTGCTTGTGAATAATGTTTTACTTACGTGTATTTTTAAACACTGAAGATTGTGTCTGATTGCTGTTGAAGGTGTGAAGACCTTCGGATATTTACTTTGTGAATATCGCTGCTGAATCCTGTATTTAAAGGATTGGGTTTTTGATAATAAATTCACATCGCTCTTAAAGAACGGTTTATTTTCTTTGTGATTGTTTTGCATAAAATCCTCGAATCCAGATCTACGTAACAATATTGTTAGCTGACAATAATATAATGCATTCAGATTGTGAAATTTCCGTTTGTGTGAACTCTGTATTGAAAAAGATTTCTTCTTTTTTTTCAGAAATATTATCGGAGTTTCTTAAACTTTTCAAACTTTTCTGCTTTTGAATATTGTATTTTAATTTCTAAAATTTTCGGCAAATTATATCGAGCAAAGCAGTAATAAAAAACTACAGCTCATTTCCCTTTGTTTTTATCATCAGACTTCAGTATTTTTGCACTTGAAGAATTTATTTCTTCTTCCAAATCTAAGAAATTTGAACAATCTGTTTAATTCAACGAGGTCCTGTATGGAAACTAAGTGAGATGAAGATAAATAAACTTATTTTTCTGCTTAGATAAACATTTCTTTCAACTAAAACCATAATAGGTTGATTAAAAAAAGGAACCCAAAAATTACTTTCAATTTCAAAATCAGAGAAAGAAATGGATTTCATTTCTTATAGAGATTTCAACCATTTATTTACATAAACGAAATACAGAAAGATGGAAATTTCATTAAGAAAACCAAAATAGATTCTTCTGTACTGTCAAACAACGAAAATTCAGCAATAAAAGAACAAAATGTAACAAAAAATTCTCAACTTTACTATAAAAAAAAATGCTTATCTCCAGTTCTTCTGATCTTCAACAACCTCTTTAAGATATTCGACTGCGTTCTGAACCGTGATTTTTAAAAAGCGCATAAATGGATAATTTTCATGATATTTAGCGTCACTTAGATTAAAATACATGTATAAAATTGTTTTAAGGACATTTTGACAAAAAAATTTATTTAAATACATTATTTCGGCAAAAAATTAACTTAGAATAACCTTTTTTCAAAATGTTCTTCTTTTGGGAAAAATGCTTCTATTATAATAGTATTTTGTCTGTATATAGCTCAGACCTCTGTACAGAGGCTGAACTACGATTTTTGAAAAATTCACATTATTTTCAGAGTTGCAACCAGTTGAAATAATTATCGGCGTTTTTTTCTTAAAATTTCTCCCCTCTGTTGTCGTAAAACATGGATAAACCCACTTCTAAGTTATATATTTCAAAAATTTTAGTTGAGCCTCTGAACAGAGGTCTGAGCTATATACATGTAAAATATTATTATAATAGAAGAATTTTCGCAGAAGGAGAATATTTTGAAAATCGGTCATTCTATGTTCATTTTTTGTCAAAATATTGTACTTAAATAATTTTTCATTGTATAATATTCTTAAAATTATTT